CGGGGCCGGGGCCGGCACCGGGGCCGCCCCTCTGCCGCCCCGGCCCGCGGCGAGCAGCCGGGACGGGGCCCGTCCTCCGCCCCAGCCGGGTGGGACGGGGAATGGGGGGGCTGGTGTTCGAGAGACACCTCCAATCCCTCCCGTTTTCGCTTCAAAAATATTTCAGCTGTTGGCGTTCGCGCGTTTTCTTCCCGGTTAAGCCCTCGTTGGGTGTCCGCGGTTCAGGTCCAAGTGCTTTGTGGGTGGGAACCGCAGGTGCGTGCAGGAAGAACAAAACCTTGTTTACTCAGCTCAACAAAAAGCGGGAGCCTAAAGGTAAGCAGGTTTTATTAGCGTTGCTTGCCACACAGAAGCAGCTTGTTTTTCCCCGTGGTTTTTTTGAGAGAGATGACTCGTCACGATTTTGCAGCTTCCCGCTGGCCAGACGAACCACTGTGGTGCTCCCTCTTCGGGCATTAAATATCCTCAGCTGTTGTTTCAGCCGCTGTCGTGGCATTTAGCCGTTTCGGTTAAACGTAACCAAATGGAATAAAGTAAAACACAGACTGGGAACTTTCTCCTTAGAAAACCCTGGTTCGAGCATGGTTTGCGTAATGAGTAATGTGGTGTTCTGCGGGGATGTGTTTGTTCTTAGGTTTGAGTATACACACAAGAAACAGACGGGTGGAGCCGGCCAGTATGGCAAAGTTATAGGCGTTCTGGAGCCCCTGGATCCAGAGGACTACACAAAATTAGAGTTTGAAGACAGAACTGTTGGCACAAATATTCCAAAACAATTCGTGCCCGCTGTTGAAAAGGTACCAAGCGTTTTGTGTGTGTATATAATATAAAAAATACTGACTCCTGTTGTTTTCCTGCTATACCATGCACATTTACTGTGACTGTCTTGCCCCAGGCAAGGAGGCTTTTCTCATTACTTCAGTGGGAGCAGAATCAAATTTGTGTGGCTTTCCTTAATATCTTACATTCCTAGGTTTTCCACTTAATTTAGAAGCTGCTGTTTGTTTTCTTTGGTGGTGTGCGCTTGCTCTATTTCCATAGCAGTGCTGCAGAGCAGAAGGTAGGCTGTCCTTTCTTGCAGTCAAACAAGCCTCTTTCTGTTGAATCTGCTTTTTATTGGCCCTCTTCTGCTTTTGATTGTGGCCTTGCGATTCTCATCTCTAGCCCTGAAATATGTAACTTTTGTGACTTCTCTGAGACTGGTTATGTAGGAAACTGTAATTAAGCTGGATTTCCTGCATGAATTACCAAATATTCCTTCTTTTTCATCTCTTCTGCGGACTTCCTGTGTGTGTGTCTCTCTCTAACTGTACAATTTATCATGTACTACTTTTAAGTAGTACCTACCATGATCTTTGAATTCCTACAACAACGGATCAACATAAGATAATTCCTTCATTATTCCATGATGCAGCATTTAAAGGTTTTTGCCAAATCCTGGAAAAAGCATGCAGTCTTAAAAGAATCTTGTTCTTCAGTCAAGTGGTTAGAGTAGCTCTTTCCACATAGAGCATTCTTTTGGCCTTTGATCATACAGTCCCTTAACAAAGCAAAATCCTGAGTACGTTTCTTCTTCTTGTCCTTAGCTTGTTACATGATTTCTATTTTTAAAAAATATCAGTATCAAACTGAGGTGCTGAAGAATGCTACTACAAAGTTTTCAGGCACTTGGGAATGAAAAGTTTTCCCCTCTGTTATGTTCTTCCATTATCTTATCAAGCAAGAGGGTCCATTGGGTAGATACAGGATTACTGTTAAAAATTGTGAAAGGTGGGGTTTTTTTCTTACTGTTGTTTTGGTTTTTAAGCTTAATGTCTTTTATAGGCTGCTGTTAACGCAACTCTTTTTTAAGCTTCATTTTGGTCTACAGACTGCTAATTTTGAGATGTTATTTGACAGGGATTCCGAGAAGCATGTGAAAAAGGTCTGGCGTCAGGGCACAGGATATCTGGAGTCCGGTTCATCCTAGAGGATGGTGCACATCACATGGTGGACTCCAATGAAATCTCTTTCATCAGAGCAGGAGAAGGAGCCCTAAAGCAAGGTATGAAGCCAGTCATTTGAATGTGTAGTCCTGCTGGCTTTCTTTATTGTAGGAGCTAAATTTAACAACCTCCTTTCTATAGGTTTGTTTGTTGCCTGGTGTATCCATACACACATTTAAAGTTTGGCCGGTTGTGTAGAGCCGAATATATGCGAGAGTTTATAGAAATTTTGAGGGGGGCCCAATAATTCCTTTAGTTTTATGAAAAGTAAAGAAACACCAACAGCTTCATCCTTACACAGGTATGAAGAGAACTTTTTATCAAACTGTGTGCCTCCTAGTATTACGGTCTCAGTAATAAAAGGCGGGGGAGCTGGAATTTCACATTGTTGGTTATTGTTTTTCCCCCACTGATGTAAGAAACGCTTAGCATCAACCATAAAACACTTCCTTGCTACACATAGCGGTATCTTGAATTATGCCAGGCTTGCTCTTTGATGTTTGATTATTTAGTTAAGTTTTTTTTCTCCAGCTATGGAAAACGCCACTGTGCGTATACTCGAACCCATTATGGCAGTGGAGGTGATGGCACCCACCGAATTCCAAGGAGCAGTGATAGCTGGAATTAATCGCCGTCATGGAGTGATCACAGGACAAGACGGCACAGAGGGTTACTTTACCCTATATGCTGAGGTTTGTGTTGTTCGCTGGTTCCTGACCTTTTCCTGCCTTGCCTTTTGACTCCATTACTGTTTTACTTATTGGCTAGTACGTGTAAACTTGTAGGTGGGTTTTTCAGTGGATAAACATAATGTTAGTTTTTCAGTAGCTAAGCGTTAGTTTTCAACTCGTGGCAGTGTATTGTGCAGTATTAGTGAACCTATCATAAATCTATCTTGCTCCGGAGAAGCCAACCGACTAACCTAAAATCATACGGTGGCAGAGAAAGGAACAGAACCTGGGTTTCTTGAGATGGGCAGACTGTGCTACCTCAGAGTGAAGGGAACCTGTGCAGCAATACAGGTGCACAGAGTTCAGAGGGAAGATCTTATTGTCAGCTGTCTTCCTTCAGCTGTTACCTGCATTAACTGTAATAATTGCAGATAAATGCAAATGACTTGCCTTCAGTGTTCCTTCTTTTAGGTCCCTTCTAAAAACATAGATGTTCTCACGTTAGGTCATATAGAAGCGTACATCTAACGGTGGTGGTAGGGTAAATCATCTCAGCAAAGCCTTGGCTACTGACAAACCACACGCTGCGTCACTCCTGCGTCGTAAATTGTGTTTGGAGCTGCAGTCTTGAGATATTTCAAACATTATGATCTCTTGCTAGGTGACACAGATTACTGAATTCGGGATATTCCAGTACCTGGTACATTCAACCTCTGAGATTTTTGGGGTTTCCTGCTGAAAACATTGTGAATATAAATTGGTTGAAGTAAGGCACTTTACAAAAACGGGTAATTAGATCAGTACTGTTTACAAAGAGCACCAGACTTTACTGACTCTTTATATCGTAATTGAGATTAACTGGATGATAATCCACAGTTGATGGAAAAAATCTTGCTTTTACAAGAATAGTATGCTTGCATTTTAGGTGCCACTGAATGATATGTTTGGATATGCTACTGAACTGAGGTCTGCCACAGAGGTAAGTACTCTCGGTACTTTTTGCTAGAACGTATTTATTTCTGTAAACCAAGTGTGCTAATTTGCATCATCATATACATAGCATATGCAGCAGTAAAAGCAATAAAAATCTAAACAAATGCAGAGTAAGAAAATAACCTTACAGTTTTTACTGTTACTTTAACTGCTTTTTAATTAACATCACTATCATTAGCTGTGTCATTTCTGGCCAAAAATTTCTTTCATACTTTGAAGAGGGAATTGATTCAAAGTCATGAGTGATACAAAGAGAGAGATATCAGTAAAGGTATTAAATTCACAGGCTGGAAAACTTTAGGCATACTCCTTAAGTTACTGATGCCTGCAAGTAGAAGAGGTTTTTGACAGCAGTGCTCATGTTATTAAGATGTCCTTTTTTAATTATATATATATATATATATATACGCCTGTAGTTACACGATCATTGAATGCATTTGAATTGGGTAAGTTTGTGTGTTATGTAAAATTTGCTCTTCCACATCTCCTGACACACAAGTGCCGGTGTTCTCTGAGCGCTTGAATGGGTTGTTATTAATAGCGTCATCATTTTCAGTTTTTAAGCAGAATTGTCACACTGCTGAGATGGGTACCACAGGCAATCTTACAGTCTTGTGTCAAAGAGACAATGTTCAGATACTGTTTGTATGGTTTTGTATCTCACACGTACAGTACACCGTGTTCGTATACTTCGTTGTAAATGGTCGTTGCATGTTACTGCACAGATTAGGGTGTGGCCTGCTGCTAAATAGGATTACCCATTTAGCATCCTCACTTTGACCTTTTTCCAACTCTGCAGGGAAAGGGTGAATATACAATGGAATACTGTAAATATCAACCATGTTTGCCCAGCAGTCAGGAAGAAATAATTAACAAATACCTTGAAGCAACAGGGCGACTTCCTGCAAAAAAGGGCAAAGCCAAGAGCTGACTCTTTTCCTCTTGAGTACATGGAACAGTTTTTCACAACCTTCTCTAAAAGCTCACTTGCCCAAGCCATAGAAGCAATCAAGGCTGGCTGGACAAGCACAGGCTGCAGCGGGACTTGGACTTGTAATTTCAGCATAATATCCTTCCTTTGTGGTATTCTCAGGAACCACCAGGAAATTACAATGGAATTGTTCACATGTAAATGCTACTCATTAACAAAATACATAAATGTTAAACCACTGATGATAACTTGTCTCGAAATTTGTCGTAATCCCATTTGTATTAAAATAATTTTATTTTTTTACTTGCTACATCATTCTTTTGTAATTAGGCTTGTTAATGTTTCCCTGTTTTTGAAAGTTTAAAAATTTTAATTTCGGAGTCTCAACTAACTGTTAGCTGCTGGACCGGCACGGGGGAGGAGTTGGCATCCAATACTGAGCAGTTTTCACATAGGTGCTCCAGGCACAGATCCGTTACCTCTTGCACTTACAGCATCCAGCCCAGAGAACCAATATCTGTTTTCCCTCCGCATCCTTCAGAAAGAACACAAGGAGCCTCCAAAGTCCTAACGAACTGAGTCGCTGTTCAGTGCAGCTCGCTCGTCACCAGATCCGCTTATCGCTGATGGTACCAGGCATTTGAAAAGAGTTGGTAATAATATACGCAGAAGTCAACTCTTTCCAAAACTATGAACAACATGGATTTATTTTACGGGCTTGCTTTCTGGGCTCTTTGTTAGAAAACCAAACAAAAGATGCCTTTTCCCAGAATGTCACAATCAAGAGAGCATGTTGCTGATGATGTTTGGCTTGAGAGTTGGTTGAATAGAGCTTGCTTGCTCATAGAAGAGAGATCAAACAAGGGTGTTGGTGTTAGGTGAGAAAGAGAAGATATTATCATCTTTTTTGTTTGGTGTTTTTTTTTTTTTAATTACTACCAGAAGATCCATGCTGAATTTTCTTTGTGTGCTCTCTCTTACCGACCTACTCAGCTTAACAGCATTTTTGCAGACTTCCAGTAAACAGAGAATGCAATTCCAGTTCAAAACCAGCTACATTCCTGGCACAGGATTGTGGTTGATGTCTACCAGACGGAGACAGAACTGTAATGTCCGGGCTGCTTTTCCTCAGCCTTCACAGAAAGACAGTGAAAATTATTTATGTTAACCTTGAAAAAAGTACAGTGTTGGGGGCGTGTAAATGCTAACTGAACACAGGCATGATGTTGTGTGCGAGTATGGCATTGCTTTGGGCCAAATCCTTCTTGATTCCGTTACATTCGCAGCTTTGTTTTTGTGAAAATACTCAGCTGGAACTCGTTTCAAGAAAAGCCCTGCAGGTTCTCTGACGCTTGGAGATTTTCTTAAGCAAATACAGCACATAAGATTCAAAGATGTCTTATAAAAGCAGTATGAATGCAAGAAAGAAATGGGGTGGTTATTATTTTATTTATATTTTTGGCTTTTATATTATGCTTAGTAGAGGCCAGTCGTGATGTGAATTTCTGGCTAACAGATTCTGCCAGATGTGTGCTGGTTCTCCACAAACGGAGCACGGCCTCGGGTAGCACAGCGTAGGGACGGCTGAGGCGCAGCTCCAGGATGGCTGAACTTCCACGCGAAGGGGAAAGTCTGCAGGTAGGGGGAAGGCTAATTGCCCTCCACTATCCAGTGGAAGAAGGACAGAAGCACTAGCAAGAGCCTAATTTTGGGGCACCCTGGATTTTGTTTCTTTGTGCGTGATGGTTTTTTTTTTTTCTTTAATCAAATTTACATAGCACTCGTAGTATATCTGATGTAGTTGAACTCTTCCTAACAGCAAAGGTGGAAGAGAGCTATTCCTCTTCTCTTGTCTATACCTCTTACAGATGGGCTCTGCATGGGTTCTTTTAGCATGAAGAATTCACTGTGAACCCATCAAGAGCCTCAACTCAGATAATGTTTACATTGATGTAACCAATAATTTTGCTTGAGTAAAAACTATGATTTTCGGTTCTGATCACTGACTGAAATCTTGGCCCTAAAGAAGCTGGTGGAAATTTTGCCTTTGAATTCCAACAGGTTTGCTACTTGTCCAGAAGTTACTGTGCGGTTTCTTAACTGACATTAAGTTTGTGTTGCTGATTAGTATTCAAGTTACACCCATCTGGCAAGTTGGAAGTGCCTGGTCCTCTGTTCCAGGTCTGGAGAGCAGTGGTAAAAAGAAGGTAAGGAAACTAAACTCGTGGTTAAGAGCATTGCTAAAGTAGAGCCCCAAAGTGCAAAATCCATACTACTTTCTTGTTTTAATTCTAAAACATATTTTCATCACCAATTTCTTTAAGAAATGTTGCCATTATAAGCTCTGATCTCATGGTTTTGATGATGGGAAATGTTTTACCAGCACAAAAGAAAACCAAGAGTATGTGAAATGCTGCTTCCCTGAATTTATTGTAATGCCCGTTATGTGCTGATATTAAAAGCTTCAGTCAGTCAAAGTATATCAGACTCTAATACATTTGTGTAAAATGCCTGAATTTGGGGTGTTAACAGATCATCCAGCCTAAATACCCCCCAGTTAAAGCTTTCACGTTAAAAACCTTAATCATCGTTATCAATTACAGATCAACGATAGCACAATATACCATGAGCTATAAAGAACATAACCATCCCAGAAGGCAGAGACCATCGCCTGTTTTCCTAAAGCAGGTGTACTTAGTGATACGGAGTTAATTTAACCTGGCAGAAATCTTGCTAATTGGGTTAAAAACCGGCGAACTCGAGATGGTTTGGCACAGTCTCGGCGAACAAAGGCAGGACAGCGGGTCTGCTGTAAACCCAAATGGAGAATTTGGTGTGAAAGGACAGGAATGTGTTCTTGCGATAGGGCTTTGTTGTATTTAGGATGGGGACGTGACATGGCAGTCATTAATGTAAGAGCTGTTTGACGGGGTATTCTAGCAGCGGGCTGTTCCCCCAGCAAACAAACCCAAATGGGGAAATTCATCTGTTCAGAGCCCTCCTGTCTTTGCAGTTCTGTTTTCATTCAAAGTAATAGCAAGAACTGCAAATAGACAAAGAAAATGTCCTCAGTTTCCATCTGAGAAACGCTGCTGTGCAGTGTTCTGGACTGGTGACAGGTGTGGGGAGACAACAAACCATCTTTTCCTTCTATCAATATTTTCTGAGTTGCCTTCACAAATATAAGAAACTTTCTTTTTATGTCAGCTCACGCTGCAGGGAACAGCGGTGTGTCAGCGGGACTAGGGCCACGCAGGTGCTGGTCACCGGCTTCTGTAGGGCCTTGCAGGGAGACGTTCCGCTGTCTACGCTCGTCCACATCCTTTTAAAGGCCAGACACCAGGAGAAGATGGAAAGTTGGGGTCAAACAGCAGCATCGTGAAAGAAAACCCAACCTCGACCCTGCGTAATGGTATTTGTTTTATTGGAGATGCAAGTTACAAATCAGCACAAATCTAACCCAAAAAATGAAAAAAAAAAAAGAGTAGACAAATATTTCTTAGTGACAGATTAATACTTTTCTCAAGATTTTTATCCAAATATATTAACTTTGTTTACAAACTGTGTTGCTCTAAGTAACAGTAAGTTAGTGACATAAAATCAACTTGTGTATGTTTATCTGTGTATATATAATATAGTAGCAAAGTTTTTAGGTAGAACTCTAGAACATGAGTCTCGCAGTTTAAGAAATTACAGGAATTAATTTTGGAATAAAACAGACTAGTGAAAGCATTCAAATTCACTGTTGTAGGACTGGTATAGAAAAATTATCACAACTCCAGGTCTATTAACACAAGGATTTTCTCATTTAACACATATACATAAAACTGACAATCTCTTAAAAATTTGCTCCCCTTTCATGCAAAATCCCAGCAGCTGATCCAGATTCCATTCCAGATCCATCTTCGAGCCCCTGATTCTCTGAAGCACAGAAGTATTTCACTTTCAGGGGGTGACCAGGAAGCCAAGTGAGGCGCATGTGACACGAAATAATTTCCTGGAGAACAGATTTTAAAATACACATCTTTTATGATCTTTATACTGTTCCTCTGTTGATGAAAGGAGGCGTTCTACACATAGGCTTTCTTACCTGTGTTGGAATTTCATGGAGTAGAACAGTGTAGTCAAATTCAATAAAATCATCTTTCCTTATCTGGGCATGTATCAAAGAGAAAAAAAAAGATCAACACAAGTTACATTGCTGAAGTTTAGAGTCTACTCTGATTGACTTGACTGCTTTTAGCTCGCTTAGGGAGCGAGATGAATAGGGCTCGAGATGGCTGTGGTCATTGGCTGGAGTGAGACAGGTTTTGTATGTGGACAGACGGAATTAGGAGCGCTTCCTGCGTAAAAGCTTTGAAGGCATTAACTGCAGCATGGCTCTGCAGTCTGACTGCTCTCTGACATGAAACTAGGCTGACTCAGATGCTAATTAATTGAGATTAACCCTCAAATAGATTTGAGAATCTTACCTGACTATTAATCTCTCCTTCAGAGAAATCTCATTCTAAATAACTAGAGAGTAAAATCCGAACACTGTCTGTCGATCACAGATGACTGAGGGAGACAAAGCTCTGGGAACTCCGATACGCTACAGGTGTAAGATATGTTCCCCAGAGAACGTATGCCAGGTACTAGACTGGCGCTACCTTTGAGCTTGGCTAGGAGGGCAAAGAGTATGAGGAGCGACTTAGTGTGGGGCTGATGAACTGCAGGACCCTATGTTCAAATTTCCTCATTAAACCTGCAGAAGCCAACAGATCCACTCACGCAAAGAAGGAAAATCAAATTTTGTCCAAATGAGTAGAATTTTTCCACCGAAGCCTGGACAAAATACTTGTCCAGAGGTGGAGATACTTGTATGGTAGAAGCCCCTGGGATTTTGGGAGAATTGTGCCCATCGCATGTATGAGTATGAGCTGTTGATGGCCATTTTATTCTCTGCTGCTTGGTAGGCTCTGTTAGCTTCTGCAGCACAGGCGTGTCATTTCCACTTCGCTTACCCACTGCTTCACAGACTTGACTTGTGCCATGAAGTAACCCAAGTTCTCTGTTGACTTTTCCCACATTATGTAACTGCTGCCAGCAACAGCCAAAGCCCACACTGGCTCCAGGGCAGGTTCAATATTGCCATAGCTGTCTGCAAGGGAGAAAGAGCAATATAAAAATGATTAATTCTGGCTGTTCAGCAGCAAAATGATAAACCACAGAGCACTTTTGTCTGATGTAGCACTATTCCTGGGAAGCGACTCTTCCCTCCTATGTGTTACAATCTTGAACAGGGAGGAGGAGGAAGCGAAACCTGCAGTCCTAGTAAAAGTATGAAAGCATGACAGAACTGAAATTGCCAAGAGATGGTATTCACAGGGTCCCCACTCTGGAGGTGAGAAACCCAACATCCAGGATAATGGAGGTCCTTACCTAGCTGGGAGGAAAACAGGGACTGGGGTGCTCTGCTTCCAGGATGGAAAAATTCTGTTAGTCATCCCTTGTGAATTTCCACCCGCAGCCGGGGAAGGTGTGTGGGTTAAGGCAGTTGTTACTACTTGAGGACAGTTTGCATTTACTTGAATATAAAATTGCGTAAGCTTGCTTTTAAATCCAAAACACCTTCACAATGTTGTGCTGACTACCATTGTTGCGAAACACAGGAGGTTTTTTTTTCTCCCCAAGACTTGCTGGCAAGGTGGAATTGTTGATGGTTAGCTCTATGGTTTTAGGGTGTTACTGTAAATATATGTGTCTCCTTTTTAAAATGTGTGTGCGTTTGCTTGTGTTCTTACAAGTGCCCAGGCTCTTTAAGATAAAATTAAATACGGTTGATTATTTAGAGGAATATACCTGGAATATTGTTTCCAATTATTGGTTTGGTTTGGTGCCTAATTTTTTGGTAAAGTCTGTTGTCCTCTTCTTGGATTTGCTTCTGGTCTTTGGTAGGCATGCACTTGATATTGACAAGAGGCGGAGACTTTGTCTTCCGATACAGCACTGTAGCAAGGCAGCTCCCGGCATTTTCCTGTAAAGGTAGAATTTAAAACTGTTATCTTTAATCAAGACCTTATTTACCAGCAACACACTATTTAAAAAGCTCTTGGTATTAACAAGTGAGGTATACATATGGAGTACGTATATGTCTTTGTGAGACTCTTTGTATGAAGCTGTACAGGGGTCAAGAAAGTCTTTAGAAGAATGTAATTTTTTTTCCAAAAAAGTAAATAGGTTAAAACCATAAGGCTAAAGTTATTTAACAGAAGTTTTTAATTAAAGTGTAGCAGAAATGCACTCAGTCATCTTGGAAATATGTTTGAGAGTTCTTAAGAAATAACTTTAATTGCTAACAGGGACTTTCATTGTATGATACTTCAGCCTTGAAACAAAAATAATCTAAGGCTTCATATTAAATTCTGAAAATAATTTGAATTTCATAAAATGTGTGTGTAATGGAAAAGCAGATGCTTACAGTAAAATTGCTGATGACAACTGTCTGACAGAATGAATGGGGGGGGCTATAATTAAAAAGAACACACAACTGTCAACTCTTTATTCTCATTTTGGTGTGTGGACACAGCAGGAGCTACAACTGGATAATGAGGACCATACTGCGACACTGAGTTTGGACCATTGCAAAGTTTCACTCGGGCGCTGGGTTGCCTGATGTGACTCAAAACAAGACAATCGCTTCAGGCACTGAGTGAAGCAGGTAGCTACGGTGCTCTCACCACTTGGACCCCGGCAGAAGCAGAGGACTGATTGGATTTGATGCTCGGGTGATCCTAAGAGCAAACCGTGCCCCATGCTGGACAGGCAGGTAGAAACATAAAGGTAAATCTTTCCATTGTGAAAGATCCGTTTACGACAGCAGTTAAATGTACCCTGTTTTGGAGATGTTGAAGTTCATTTAACGCACAGTGTCAGAAGAGATGCAGAGGACCATAAACTCACCCCGCTCCTGTAGTCTTCAGTAGTGAACTGCACGTAATACTTGTGACCAGAGTCTGGGATGCTCTGGAAGAGAGAAGGATTCAGCCATCAGTGTAACTATAGCCTTACGTACTGCAACTTGCTGAGGTGCTGGCATGAGCGGAGAGGAGGGAAAATGAGGGTGCCGTGGCTGCCTCACGGCCTTGTAGCATCAGGGAGTTGGTCAGATGAGATGCGCTGAGATGATCCTAGCAGCAAACACGAAGGGTCTTAACAACAACAATAAATAACCCTTATATTAAGGGATGTTTTAAAGCCTTTCCCTCACAGAAATATGCAAGAAGAAAAATGCAGCTCAAAGTCCTTCACAGGACAGATTTATACCGAGTAACTTTAAAAATAATAAAATTATGAATCATTGTTCAGCTTCCGAGGAGGTAATTTTTTGCACAGGCTATCAGAGTGCCCTTGAATATATAAATGAATCAAATCTTGTGGACTGATTCACAGCTGAACAGCAATGACAAAGGCTAATTTAATCTTAGGGATGCTAACCTTTCTAATTTTTTCTGCTGTGACTGGAAAGAGACTAATTTTACACAGCACGTCAGAGCAGGATTCTGATCTGTCTGCTCTGTTTTGCCCTGAAAATACCAGTCATTAAGTTGCCCGATTAACTATCCGAGATTCCACTTAATGTTAGCAAAGTTTCATTCCCAGGGCAAGGCCGTCAGGCCAGCCACCTGCCTTTAGTACATACATGGAGTTATACACTGCAGATAAGAGGACAGATTGGTTTAGTTACTTGCTCTGTTGTTATAAAATCCCCTCTTGAAGCTTTACGATGAGGCAAGTGTGGAGCTGGACCCAGGTCACACCATGAAGGGAATGGAGGAAACAGAGAGAGGATGAGTTCAGACTTTTATATCCTTGTTCTCCCCTTCTCCTGCCCCTGTTTTGTGTATTGGGTAAAACATTGTCCTCAAAATGAAAGAGAATGTGACATGCCAAGATGCTCTTAGCATAGCAAAATTGTAAAAACTAGCTTTCTGAAATGCAGGTTTACAAAAGAATCAGTAATTTGTGGTGCTGAAAGAAGGGTCTAATCTCTCATGATAATCACTGCAGCTAAGTCTAAGTTTCTAGTTACGGTAAAGCTACCCAAAAGCTGTTACTGCTATTGCTTCTAACATTCTTCATTTGATCCAAGTATGGATATTTTTTAAGCACAGTGACCTAGGCTTATTCCTTTTCTTGTCATCAGTAGCGCAGATGAGAGAACCTGAAATAGAGTCAGTTGGACTACAACACTTCTGAAGCAGAAGAAACTTAGCTCTGATTTAACTGATGATAGTGGAGAGGGTTTCCTGCTGAACCTTTTCCTCAAGGGGCACAGTACAGCAGCCTGACTGCACGCTCCCAGTTACGACATCAGGGTCTTAAAGTCTGTAATGGAAGCTCTTTTATAGTTAGGCTGGATCTTTTCTGTCCAGCATATTCAGTCCCTTAAAGTATGTTTGACTATTCTTCCAATGTTATTTGTTCTTCCATAGGTGTCACCTGTTCTCTCTGCTAAAGAAAAAAATCATTTTTACAGCTGTGATAACTTTGAGAATAGTAATCAGATTCTGACAAAATATCTGAGCAGTTTCATTGCATTTGCTTGATATCGAGCACTAATGAAGAAAACAAAATCAATTGGGACTTCATTATTTTCATTATTCAGCCTCTGATTCTTCTCAGTAGAAGGCTTTAGAAAAGCTTCATGACTAATGACTGAGTAAATACTCTCTTTAAAAAGAACACATAATTCTGCACTTATGCAGTTTTTGAAGTAGGTATTCTCTCTTCATTTGCAACAACTCCACCACAGCAGTACTACTTGCCTGGAAAGCTTTCAAATGGTGCTACACAGCTAAAATACATAGTCAATGTGGGTATGCATGCCAGAGGGCTTCTTTGATCTTACCAGGGAGAGGGAGAAGGTACATCTGGCATGAAATAATTTTAACTTTTATAAAAGTATTTCTAGTTTTGAAGAAAAACATCACTGTTCTTTCCACTATTATTTTCCACTATCAGCCCAAAATGCATCACTGTAAACCATCATGTAGCGTGAGTTAAATCAGAGCTGAGGAATATTGGACATCACACAATGATGGCTGGCTGAAAGCGGCCAAAGATAAAAAGTGTCCAGAAGAGAAGAAAACAAGTGAGTAATTCATTTTTCCACTGAATATCTGGGTCACGGGATTGTTTTATTTCCAGGCTCAAAATTAATGCAACTTTCATGGCAGTTTTTTAGTACTGTGAAGGCCAGAATAGCAGTTTTAAGACCAGTTTCATTCCAGGTCTCAAAGGAGGTGGTTTTACAATTGGTTTACGCTGCTCCAACTCCCCACTGGCACAGAAAGGAGTGATCCCTCTCTCGCCCCTTGCTGCAGGTTTCCATCTCTTCTCCTGTGTATTTCCCCACCAGTAATTCTTCCCCAGGACCAGTTTTTGGTCGCTGGATCAGAGGGCAGACCTGATCACTAAGCATGGAGAAGCTGGCACTGCTGAGAGTGGAGCGAGAGGTGTCCTTCGGGGGCTTGCCCAGGGGGATTTCCACCTTGCAGCCCTGCCACTGTCCCTGCAAGCCAGCTCAGGTAGCCTGTGGCTTCTAGAGGTGCTGGAGATGTCCGATCCACAAGTAGCTGGGTGAGCTCTTGGGCTACCCCTGGCAGGAGGGAAAAGCCAGCAGAGATGGTTATTTTCTCGACCTCTCTGTATCTGTCTTTCCCTAGACAATTTACCTACCCTGTCACTGATTCTACCTTTCCCACCCTAACGTGGGGTCCTGACTGTTGGAAATAAGTAGAAATCTTTTAACTGACTTCTAATATTAGGACCATGGTTCTGGTATTACACTGTTTTGTGTCAAGGTGAGCTTGTGAAGAGAAATACCCATCTGTAAAATTGTATTTTGTAGTCCAATTTAAGTAAATGTTGCTGTTCAGCTAAGAGATTACCTAGCTTTACCTTTATACCTCACCTCCTGGTTCACCTACCTACTGCTCAGTTATGACTTCCAGGACAGTTTGGTATGGGAGACTGCTACGTCAGTGTTTTGAAAGTTTCTCTCTTGAATTCTAGGATCTTCAGCTGGCACACACTAATGCTTCTCTTCTCAAAAATGTATTTTAAAGTGCAAGCTGTCAACAATTCCATGAGATGCACGCTGCTGTTTCCTAGAAGATACTCACTTAAGAAAAAAACCTGCATCAATGAGAAGGGACAAGAAAAAGAAAACTCCAGCCAATGGCAAGGTAGGAATTATTATATGTTTGGTATATCTCTACTCTTCATTGCCAGGAGAGAAAAGCACTGAAGTCTTATTTTACCTGAACTTGAAAAATCCTTCACATCTAATGGAGTTACTATACTGGTGACCGTCTCCAGTCCTGTTTCTAATTACCACAGTTTCACTGGCTAGTGGGCTAATAATGTTAGTTTTAAAATACAGTGCTCATGATTAAATTCCATTATAAAATTATCCTATTTTTAATAGATACAGTAATATACTAACAATAGGAAACAAGCCTTCTTAAAAAAAAAAACTAAAAGAACAAAAGCCAACCAAAGAAACACATAGCCCCCTGCCCCCCAAAACCCAACATTTCTGTCTCTTGCATTCACATAATATAGCACACTCCTTCCAGGAAATTCTTTTCATTTTTTTACAGTGGAGGACAGGAAAGAAGGAAGTGACCATGTCTAGTACATTTCTCCTCTTGTTTTCACAGAGTGTGCAAAGAAAAAGGGGAAATAAACTGCAGAAAGTGGTTACAGCGAGCTCCTACAGCATTGAGTACTGTGAGGAAATAATGAGGCATTTCACTTCTCTATAATGAACCAATTTTTTTCTTTCCTATATGAAAAGGCAGGTGGCTGATAGTGGGTAGAAAAGATCCCTTTCCCTCCGCGCAACCAAAATTACCTTGCAAATATTCACTTACACTGGGGTTGGAAAGAGGATCTGCACCAACCCCTTCCGATAGGTGTCTTTACTAGACAAGTGCATTGCTTCCAGCAGCACACCCTGCTGCCAGAGGCCACATTGTTGCTCTTAAAAGAGGCACAAGCATTTATATATGTAAATATGTGCATATGCACACTACCCACTAAAGTGCTTAGTAGATACAGAAGGAGCACTTGTATGTTTCGAGAAAAGTATCAAATTTCATAGTAAATTTCTGTCATAGGTGTCTGCAGCAATTTCATAGGAAGAATCAAATGTCACATTAGCACATCCATCCTCAGCGCCTATTAAACTGTATGTTTACTGATGTGTTTGGGAGTGATGATGAGACCAGTGTTACCTAAAGGGCATGGTCTCAGATAAATCTATAGCAGGACACCATGTTTGCATTCCCACACAGGTTGCATGACCAATGCTATCTTTCAGCCTTGCGTTACACAAAGTAATACACAAATTCTGAGTCGTTATGCAGTAGTCTGTGTTTTGTGAAATTTAACTGGAAATTGTCCTGGTCTGTTAAATATTGTGTGCAACTCAAACCAGCTTCAAATTGTTTTGGAACTAGAGTCAACTGGGATATATATGAAAGATTGAGGCTCACGTTCAATGTTGTAAGGACTGCAATAGTACATCCCAAATGTTTTAGGCTGGCTTGGAACTTCTTTCTTGAAAGGGAAGATTTTACACTACACCATCTTATTCTCAATTTTCAGAGTGAGGGCCTGAATTGAACAAGCCATGCAGATGCTGAAGGACAAATATTGTAAGATCTCCTTTTCAGATGCCAGAGCCATGAAAAGGATCCAGTGGAATCCAGTGCTGCATTTGGCACCTCAGACTGGGAATCCAAAACGACCGGCCCTTGCTTTAGGGAACTGCCCAGCCGTAGCCTGGAGGGGAAGACGAGATGAGAGGGCTGGTTTTAAATCCCATCCACTGCGATAGCTGAGACCTTCCTCAGCTCTCCAGGAAGGCAGTGCTTTCCTTCCAGGATCTACAGCCTTGGACAAATGTTCCCCAACAGTTTTTGCCTGTTCTCTAACTTTCAGAAACTGAGTAAGCTGTAAAAAAAACCCAGACTGGTGGCTGGAGGAAGAGAAAGGCTGCGTGGCACAGTGCTTGCAGGCAGCGGCCCTGCATTTCAGTGTGCGGGGCACGGGTACACCGGGCATGCCCCGGGCACCGCCTCGAGCATCCCTGACAAGCTCTGGGTGACGTGAAAGCTCTGCCCCTGTAGCTGCTCCTATCTAGGACTCCCACCCCTTTCTGTCACCTCGGTTTGACGTGGTTTTTGGAAGATAAAAGCATGTTTTCCGACGGGAGCTGCATCGCCTTTAGTTGAAGCTCTCGGTCTCCAGAGCTAGAAAGCAAAGTCCTCTCCGTCCCTACTCACACAAAGTAGATGGTCGCTCCAGAAGCAATTCTGCCGAAAATGTTTCCTCATCAAACTGTTTTCTTCCCAGTATGTGCCCGCAGCGTGCCTCGGTTCCCTCTTTTCCCCTCATCTGCGCTACCCTGCTTTTGATTCCAGGACAGGGCACTCTGAGACAACCTCAACCGACTGGCTGGGCTTGGATTTGGGGGGGGGGTAATTTAAATCATGACTCAATTAACGACCTTTCGAGGTGGATCCCCGCTGAGGAGACCCCGAGCCCCCTGAGGGAAGGACAGCAGCTCCCGCCGCGGGAGGCGGGAAGGCGCCACCCTCAGGGCGGCTCAGCTCCTCACCGCTGCCCCGCTCTTTCATTATAATAATTAGTATTAATTGTACTTTCCCCAGCGTCGCTTGAAACCCCGCGCCTGCCCGCCCCGGGGGAGCCCTCCCCGCCGGCTTTCCCCTACCTTCACCGTGGCTTTGCGGACCTGCCCCAGCGCCTGCAGCTCTCCGGGGGACGCCGTCTGGAAGTTGAGGTAATGCAATGCCACCCGCGCCGCCCCGGCGGCCAGGCGGCTGCTGGGATTCAGCTCCCGCTCCGCCACCGGTACCGCTGCCACCGGCAACAGCAGCAGCGAGCTGAGGCGGAGGAGGAGGAGGAGGAAGGCGGCGGGTGGCGCGGAGCTGAGACCCTGCATGGTGCTGAGAGACGGGGAGGGACCGCACTGAGGCGGGCTCCGCTGAGGGACGGTACTAATAGCGGGGGGGGGGGGGGCCCGGCCCCGCTACCTCCCGCCCTTCCACCGCCCGCTGTCAGTGCCGGGAAAGCGCTGGGGGAAACTCCTGTCTTTTCGGTTATTCCCCTTCCCCTCATCCTTCCCCTCAAACTCGCTTCAGCCCGGCCGGGGTCTTGAGGGGGGGCTGGGGGTCGTCTGAGGGGAGCCAGGAGGCCCCCCGGCTCCCCTCAGACGACCCCCAGCCCCAGGAGCCCGTGTGAGGTGAGAGACTGCCGCTCAGAGACAGATGTGCAGTTATAACAACGCCTATCGGACCCAATAGAGGTAATTATGTGGAAAAAAACAGTTATCGCCTCCTCAGCGTTACGACAGCGCGGCGCTTCCCAAAACTAAACAAACTCCCTCAGAGAGAGACAGGCTTTCCCTAGGACGCAGTTGAAATAGTCCAAAAACTGTGCACGAGAAAGCAGAAGGAAGCGTTCCTCCCCGGAATAAATCTCACGAAGTGAAGTGGTTTTTGGAAGCAGTATGGTCGTATCTCTTGTAGCGCGAAGAAAATGAACTGAGACAGCAGCCCGGCAGACGGGTTCCCTTAAGGTGATTTTTTAGGACACAAGTGGGCTTGCTGCCTTGCTACTCCTGGAAGCATCTCTTTCGGAGAGACTGAATGTGGTATAACGTAAAAGACTGCAATACTTCCTGGGTTAAAAATGCTGGGTTTTTAATGACCTACTCTGTTACCATTCGAGCAGATGGGTATTAGTATGCGCAGCTGGGAATTTATTTTTATGCTTCTGCATGTGTATTGGGGCATGCTTCTGGGCTGGGTTGTCAAAGTAGTAAATCAGAACTCTGGTTAAAGACTCAAACTGTCTCTCCTGGAGCATCAAGTTGCCTTTGTTACTGTAATGCTTTTACACAGAACTTGAAATTGAGTGTTTTTGAGCCTTTCCTAAGTGAGGGAAAGAATTATTACAATAAAGGCATAATAAAATTCTTTATTACACTGTTTGCTCTGCCACCCAACTCATTTAATTGCCCTGACTTTGTTGGTGATTATGATTTTGCTTTCTGAGATATTTTCAATAAATAATAGTTTGTATCTTCACATTCTCTGGCATGCTGTTTTCTTTCTTTACATTGGGTAGCAGATGCAAATGTAGTTTCACTCTTTTTTCCTTTTGTTCCCAGAAACCCTGTGCTGTTTCTGTTTCATCCCTTCTGCAGCTTGCTTTGTTCCTTTTTTTTTTTTTTTTTTTTTTGCTTGTTAACAAATTCTTTGTTACAAATTCTGAAGTACCTCAACAGAAATGGGCTGTGCTTTGAGTGAAAATGTAAGATGGAGACAGCCATATCAGGTCAAGCCAAGAGCTTATCTAACCTGGTATCCTTTGACAGTGCCTTTGCTTTGCGAAGACTATAAGAACAAGGCAAGAACAGGTGATGCTTCCCAGGAATACTCTCCCAGGTTCCCACCACTTACGGGTCCATGATTTCCTGAGACGGCAGAGGTATTTTCTGGGTGGTTAGTAACCTTCAGTGGGTTTCTCTTCTGCAAACTAGTCCAGTTTCCCTATGAGCCTATGTCAGGCGCAGGCAGGCAAGGCTCTGAACACTACTTACTTTCATCTATTTTTTTGCTGACTGTACTACCCTGGTCTAATGATTCTTTTTTCTGTAATACGCTATGATTGGTTCCAGACAGAAGTAGAAACATGTTCTTTTCACATCCCTTTCTTTGGCATTATTTAGCTTTCTGTCTTCATACTCAGAGAGTCTGTGTAACCTGTGTGGCAGTTTCCTCCACGACCTGTATTAGGAAAATTAAAAAAAAATTAAAAATTTTCTCTGATACCAACCATACTAGAAGACGTTAAAGTTTTAGTAAATTCAATTTCCGTAAGTTCAGCATCCAAGAGAAAGTGTGCAGCTATACAGTTTGGGGGGTTTTGCCTTCAGTCTTAATTGACACTGTCAATAACTAATGCAGCAAATTAAGTTTCTTTTATCTAATTTAGGGGCCACACTTCTCATCTGAACCTGAGTTATATCCCACATAGAAAGGTTAACTTTGATTAATTTGACATCTCTCCCAGTTTTACAATGCACTGCTTTACTTCACATCGTATCTGGAGTCACACAGCTGCTTATTAGAGGGTAATGGCATTTTTCATATATTTGGGGGGGGGAAGTGTTTATAAAATTTTGCAGAGGGAGCAGGCTAACTTTTTCCTTATTGGAACACTTGCCATGTTTGTCTCCAACATTTTCTGTTTAGCTGGAAGAAACCAAGATCCAGTCTTTTCTCATTTATCCTCGCTGTGATGGCAGCTCCAATATTACTTTTAAATTGAAATACAAAGCATGATTCTCCTTAGCTGACGCTGGAGGTCTGAGCAGGACCAATTGTTTCCTGACGCTACCAATTTGCTTCATGCACTTCATTTCTCATAGCAGCGCTCCGGAGGTGGGACGAGTGGCTGAGGACGTCATGGGAGCAGAGGAAGCACAGGCCAGGCCATGGAAGGGCAAGCAGCGAGGTGAAGCAGGGATCGCTGGTGAGAAAAGCTTTGGTGCGGGATGTGTAACAGAGGGTGGGAAGGGAGGAGGGGAGGACTGCAAGGGACCAGCTTCTCCCACTCACGACATTAGTGTATTTGTGTGCTGCTGCTGTCCCTGTTCAAGGAATGAAGTGAGAACCACCCTGCACCGAGGTTTCACACTCACGGTTTTGATGCCTCAGGTTTTGTGGGAGTTCAGAGGCTTAAATGAGAGGTAAGAGCTTGTAAATCTGGCTCTTTGTCACTCACGCTGGAAAAGCCTGCAAACCCCTGATGTCTGAGCTGTGAGGCTTTGACCCCATCCATGACTTTCTATGTACTTCCCTCCTATGTTCTCCTCCTTTTCCTGCTTTCTCGGTCAGCATCGCGGTCAGTGATACGGTTGTTTCCTTCCTCCCAAGTGCAACAAAGAGGTTGTGAGCAACCAAGACCCGAGGGTCACTATGACAAGGACGGAGAACCTGTATCACAAAGCAGGGACAATTCCATGGCAGTTTCCTAAATTGCTGCCGAGACTATGTTGCTATAATTTGCAGTTGATCAAACATGACTCTGAATTTACAAAGCATTTTGACTTGGGAAAGTAAAAGCTCAATTGCTGAACAGGCCCAGGTCAGGGCTGGGGGAATGTTCCTAAATATGTACACACACAGGTATTAGCTGCTTCCACAACATTTAGAAAATGTATTTACTTTAAGCCCTGATTTTATGGGGCCCTTAAAAGCTGAAAGTGTATCCTCTGACAGCCAGGCCTCAAGCTAGGCTCCGCTCATTTGCTTCAGACTTTTTGGTGACAGTAAAAATAAAGCTCTACAGCATGTAACATCTGAACAAAAGAAACCAAAGTGAGTGATCTAACTTGAAGTGACATATATATTCTAGTTAGCTAGAATGGGGTGCATGTAGGTTTTGTCCTTCTAGAATATCTTTTTACCTCTCATCCCAATTAACTTGGTCCAGACTCAAAGAGGACGGTGGTAGTGTAAGTTACATGTTAATAAGCCTCTCTCACTCTTCCCTTCTCTGTTCTTTAACAAACTGTACATGATGGCAAATTTTCCAATGTTAAGATTGTGCGGTGGTGTGCATCACGCTTATGTCACAGCTGACTTGGGTTCTTTAGAAATGGAAATGAGGGTTGTTTCGGGCAGCTGGTCTAAAAAGCATTCTGAGGTTTTCATTTTCTTACCATCTTTTTTCATACATCAAATGCTTGTTTAGAGGCCAGTTATTCCTAATTTGTTTCATATTTGAAGACTATTTCCATATCCTTTGTAAGCATTTTACAACAGACCTCACTGGCTCATAATCACTAACAGATGACTGTAATATAACACAATGAATTTGGACAAACTTCAGTTTATTTTGTTTTGCAACTTTTCCAGTTCTAACTTCAGCATCTTGCTGTAGTAAAAAACAAGCTCTGTTACTTGATTTTAAGTGAATTGTTTATGGCTTCCCCCACCCCACCCCTTAATAATTATGGCTTGATTTTATTCCCAGTAATTAATCACATGAGCTTATTTTCTGTGTAATTAGTCTCCACATTTTTTGCTGGATAAATCAAGCTTTAAATAGGTGATCTAATGCATTGCTGGGCTGACCTTGCCTATGGTTAAGCATAGGCATAAAAATATATGTGTTGATTTAGTGTGGCTCATTTTTTTCAGGGAAATTTGGTTTTGAAGGCTTCTGACTATTTTTAAATCTTTCTGGTTATGGGTAGGATTTCTTTTAAAAGACAAACTTATATGTTCAGTGTCAGCAGCAAAAGATGCCATTTTTGCACACCCAGGTAACAGAATTTTCCCAATGATTCATACATATGTGGCTCAACACAGGCTGTGTTTTCTGCAGGTGTTAGTGCTCAAAACGTATGCTATGTTGCATTTTTACAAAAGGACAGGCTGCATTAAAGCCAAAATGAAGTCTCTTACATTTTGAGTGAGTATACAGTAGACAAGTTTTCTAAAAACCTGTGTATCATACCTGTCGATTGGCCTAAGGGGAAGTTTGCTGTGTAGCTGTAATAGTTCCACAGGGAACTAACAGAAAAATAAACAAGAAGAGAGAAAGCAGTTGAAGCCGATAAATACTCACTGTGACGTGAATTACCTTCAAGGCCTTTGACTTAGTCTCCTGTTAAACTTATTGAACTGGTTTTGACCAGAATTGATAGAGCCAGGAAATGAAGAAAAGTGAAAGGACTTGAAAGCCATCACTTAAATGCAAGTTATTTGGGTCAGTACAGGAATAACCCTTGACATGTAAGTGACTGCGATATCTATGTCAGTCAGGAAGGTCCAGTAAGCCCTTCTGGCCAAAAAACTGCAAATTGATTGATGCCATCTGTTTCCATTATTTTGTATACTTTTATATTGCTTTTAAAATGCATGCCAACATCCTGTAAAAGTGAAACAGTCACCAGTAAGGTTTGCAGTTCTCTCTTAACTGCTTCTGAGCT